TCCCTCCCTCTCTCCTTTTCCTCCCTCAATCCAGAAAGTCTGTCCAGGTATGATCATATCTGAGCTCTTGTTATTCTCAAAAGGCACTGATTTTTCCATTGTAAATGTCAACAGCTGTTTATTTCATAATCTACTAATTTCTTCCATCTTGCTCTTCTCTAACAACTTTTTAATGCATAGTAGCTCAACATGCCAAAAATGTACTTATATATTATCTATAACGTCAACTCTGTGCTATACTTTTCTAGTTCAAAGGACATATGGAGCACCATAGTTACAGGATTTTGAAAAATGTGAACAAAAATCACTTTTTGCTCTAACCTGTGTGGAAAACTAACAGATTCTGGAGCCAGTTACGGAAAGCAACATTGGAAGAAAACCTATTATGACTATTTGACCCATTTTTTTTTTTACTTTTGTATTATTATTATTATTATTATTATCCATCCATTTTCGTCCGCTTATCCGGGGCCGGGTCGCGGGGGCAGCAGCCTAAGCAGGGACTCCCAGACTTCCTTCACCCCAGACACGTCCTCCAGCTCCTCCGGGGGGACCCCGAGGCGTTCCCAGGCCAGTCCGAGAGACATAGTCCCTCCAGCGTGTCCTGGGTCTTCCCCGGGGCCTCCTCCCGGTGGGACATGCCCGGAACACCTCCCGAGGGAGGCGCCCAGGAGGCATCCGGAAACAGATGCCCGAGCCACCTCAACTGGCTCCTCTCGACGTGGAGGAGCAGCGGCTCTACTCCGAGCTCCTCCCGTGTGACTGAGCTCCTCACCCTATCTCTAAGGGAGCGCCCAGCCACCCTGCGGAGGAAACCCATTTCAAGCGCTTGTATCAGCGATCTCGTCCTTTCGGTCACTACCCAGAGCTCATGACCATAGTGGCGGTCGGGGACAGTACCTCTGGACTGGCAAACCGGGGTGGTGGTCCCTCTGTATAAGAAGGGGGACCGGAGGGTGTGCTCCAACTATAGGGGGATCACACTCCTCAGCCTTCCCGGTAAGGTCTATGCCAGGGTACTGGAGAGGAGAATCCGGCCGATAGTCGAACCTCAGATCCAGGAGGAGCAGTGTGGTTTTTGTCCTGGCCGTGGAACACTGGACCAGCTCTACACTCTCCATCGGGTGCTCGAGGGTTCATGGGAGTTTGCCCAACCAGTCCACATGTGCTTTGTGGACTTGGAGAAGGCATTCGACCGTGTCCCTCGTGGTGTCCTGTGGGGGGTGCTCTGGGAGTTCAAGTATCTCGGGGTCTTGTTCACGAGTGAGGGAAGGACGGAACGGGAGATTGACAGGCGGATTGGTGCAGCTTCGGCAGTGATGCGGTCGCTGTTCATACTCTCACCTATCATCATCATCATCATCATCATCATCATCATCATCATCATCATCATTATTATTATTATTTGTAATTTTTTTATGTTTTAAATTTTATTTTATTTTATATAGCACTTTTATGGACACACAAAGACACTTTACATAGCATTAATCATTCACGCCACACCTAAACAAGACCTGATGGAGAAGTTTGGATGCATAAATCAGAAAAATGCACTAGAATTTCTTTTGCATTTGGCTTTTTCCCCAACAGATATCTTAATAAAACTGCATACAGCTGCCTATAATATTTAACTATATTAATACATTTAGTTTATGTAGAAATTTAATTAAATAGACTTCCCACAAATTCATACTCGAATAATAAGACAAGATAATTTAAATTACGACTCATTTTCAGTTTATTTACCCTTGTATTGGATGTAAACACTGCAATTGTATTTATTGTTAAAGGATTGAGTAAGTACTTGTCAGGAGCTGTGAACATAATCACTTTCCCCCAGGGGCCTATTATCAAACACGTGAATCCTTTGGTATGAATGAGTCCTTTAAAGCCTTAGCCGGGCCTAACCAAATTAGTCTGGGAATACAAATACATGAGACAGACAGCTCTCATCAAAGACCTACCGGATATTGAGATATTTTAACCATGCAGTGTTTACTACCCCGAGTCTAGTCCTACGAGGGGTCCAAAACATTGTAACCGAGGATGCCGAGTTTGTTTATGCGACCGTCTAGCTAACAGACTGTGGAAATGCCAGTCTGAATAGCAAAGGTGCGGAGATGCTAACAGCTACACGCCACTTGAGCATGTTTTTTTTTCTCTAGTTTTACTGCTTTTTTTATGGTAACAAAGGGTGCTCTGTGTGAATGTTGAGACGGAGAGGTTCAGCGGCGTATCAGAGCGGAGCAAGTGCCTTTTAAGGAAAACATTCTGTGAGGTGTTATCAGGGAAGGGGGTAAACAAAGTCAAAGCATGATAACTGCTGAGTGCACACGGTTTGAAAGGAGGCCTATTATGCAAGATGAACTTTTTAGAGCTTGTAACCCCTTCTCATTTACACACTTGAAGTTGTATTAGTTGTAGAGTGATTTGTGTGCTTTAGAGTAATGTTTATTCTAATGTATTGAAGACGTCATTGCTCCGATCTGCTCCTGTTTTCACCCCCACTAATGCGCCATTGCTTTTACTGTATTTTTCGGACTATAAGGCGCACTTAAAATACTTTAATTTTCTCAAAATCGACAGTGCACCTTATGTATTATTCAGGTGTGCTTACTGACCTCGAATCGATTTTATGTGGTACACGGTGCTGAAAAATCTATCAAAATGTTCTAGTACGACTTTGGTAAGCTACAAAGCCGCACCTCTTGATGGATTGTTGAAGCATTATGGCTACTGTATTCAGGAGCCTCACAGAATAAAGGATGAAGTATAGTTCTGCGTTGACTCAGGGCACACTGCCGCCATCACCTTGTCTCTGAAAAAACACATATATTCCACTGAGTCGAGTCCTTTAGTCCAACAGAAGCTGACAATATCAGCACACAAGGAGCAAGCACTTTTTCAGCACTTACAGTTTTTGCTAATTTTCCATGTGATTTTAAGTTTTGTTTCTGTAAAACGTAAGTAAATGTGCGCAAAGCTGCATTAAACACATTGTTTCTCAATGTATATTTGAATCCTTCTTGTAGGAAATAAAAAACAAACTTAAATGATCCACCCACGTTCACATTCATACGACACATTCACCAAGACAGGTAGGCAATAGTCCGAAAAATAGTAGTTTTTTCTCCAGTTCAAACTCAAATATCAAACTTGATTTTGATATTGACTTGATACTCAATACCAATTCCGATACTACAATGATAATAAAAAACACTATTTATTTAGACACTTTTATATGATTTTCAACATTAGTACTCTTTTTTATATTATCATCTGTTCTTATATCTGAATATTCTCTTAATCGTCCAGGTATATGCGGTCTTGGACTAGTTCTTAGCTCAAGATCATTCTAAAAATCTATTTACAGGCGCTTCTATTTAGTTCCACAATATTTTTGAGCAATAAAAACACCTGTAATTGAATTTTGCGATAAAGTAATACATATATGGACTCTAAAACAAGGAGGAGCCTGGTGAATTACAGATTGCTAGGGGCAAGCATTTTAGAGGCTAAATATGAGGAATTACTGAAACTTGCGTGAAAAATGTTTACTACGACCTTAAAGGCATATATGTATAGGCCAAATAATAATACCTCATATAGTGTTTCTTTTCTTTTTTCCTTTTGAATAGAATTGGACAGTGACAGCTCTTCATGTTAAAACCACACACATGTATCGCCTATAGGATACAAGCTTGGATTATGAGGAGACATTGGAGGTTTTGTGCTTCTGTCATGTTCCATTTGTTGAGCTCTGGTTGATGTGTGAAACTACATTTTTATCCTTTTGTCCTACAATGCTGCACTTTACCCAGAGGCAGTGAAACCTTGGGCGTACATCAAAGGGAATCGGGTTTTGGCGGAGTGTTTATTTAAGACGTAGACATTAAAGCCAAAGGGACAGTGTCAACTTTTCACTACAGTTTCTCACCCTGGAGTTACACTGTTGGTCTTTTGACGTGGTCTGAGCTGGTACTTGGACAACAGCACCATTGAATAGGCACATGTTTACGGATACATGATTTCTTACCATCTAAAATGTCCAAAATATAAAATCATCATATGTTATAGGTTATAACTATGAAGCAGAGAGCACCATAGTGTTACAGCCTAAACCAAAATGTGCACAATTTACTGGTGTATAAGTACATAAGTGTGTACAGAAGTAAAAAATATCCAATTTCAACTTTATTATGTCCCTGGGGTGCAATTGTTTCGCAGTCAGTGATAACAAACAATTCATACAACCTCACAGTTCATAACAATGGACATAAGAATATGCAAAAAAAATCCAATGTGCAAAACCACTTTGTGCTTTAATTGATTAATTTCATTTAGTCAAGATTAGAATTGACAAAAAATCAAAACCCAGACCCTTAATCAATACTGAAATCAGAAAGTTAAAAATTTCTAATAGTAATTTTCTGGTGTGTGACTGTCCTTTAGTCGTTCAGTCAATGCATCGGTCAACTGTGTCTTAGTCTACCCAAATTTGCATTAGTTGACAAATCATTTTACTTAAATTATAAAGATTTATATGAGACAATAGCATAAAGGAGAAGATAGTGAGTGGATTAGCTGAAAAAATGTATTTTTTTGTAATTTATAATTAAAAAAGCAGATTGAATTTGTGATTCCCTAGGTTAAATTAATAAACAGTTGTTTTTGCATGAATTCCCGTACAAGTGTAATCTTGTAAGTGCAGGTTGGGTCAGATACATCGGGACACACAATAGTTTTAAGAGCTTTTGCCACGCCCTTCTTTTAGTCAAGATTACTGAAATCACAACACTGTAATATAAGATTTCAGTTTATATTTTTTTTCTTTTTGTAATGTCAAAAGCTGTAGAAATGCTTTTGAATAAAACTTTAACTTAAAAGCTTGATTTTCTGACATCCTTCTCATCTCATTTTGAAATTTCCAACTGCATGATGAATGAATGAATGACATGCTTCTATATCATCTTCATGCTGACCTTCTGTGCTGTTTTTAGGTGCAGCTCCATCTGAAGCCCATCCAGTCTATGCTCCATCACCAGAAGGCCCTGGTGTTTGTGCTGAACTCCCCGCAGCCGCTCACATGGAGGATCCGCACAGAGAACCTGGCCCCCGGCGCCACACACACCTTTCATGTGAGTCCAGATCCTGCAGCCTAAATCCAGGGACTCATTTCCTCACTGGATAAACCCTGTCCCCGCTTTAACCCTTCAGCGCAGGGCAAATATTAAAGTCATGCTTATTTTGTGCCAGTGTTGTCACGATACTAACATTTCAGACTCAATTTTGATACTAAGGAATAGATTCGATACCCAATACCACAATGATAATTAAAAACACTTTCTTCAGATGATAGATTGTGGTTTTCAACATTAAATTGTAGTACTTTCTTTTATGTTACCATGTCCTTAGTCGTCCAGTTAGTATACAGTACTAATCTATGTGGTCTTATACTGGCTCAAGATCGTTCTAGGAAAGATTTATTTCTATCCTGTGAATGTGACATTTTTCGTATCGGTTCTTGCTCAAATGATTCCTTTCTAGTTTTACTATTGATTAGCAGTTTCCCATGGCTTCTTTACTGGCAACGTAATGCTATATGACAAGGATTTCAGCTAAAATAGTGGGTACATTTGCAGTATATGGTCAGAAAAAATCTGATTAACAAGAGTAATCAGAAATGGTGACATATATTAGTGAATCAATGAATTTTTAGAGCAACTGTTGTATTTGAAAGAGAAAGTACAATGGATTTTAAAATAGCTGTTCAAATCTTTAACATTTTCTTTTACATTTTTGTCTTTGTCATATTAGTTTGCCCTTTGCTGCATAATTTTTCATGCCAAAACCTGCACAGGAGAAATCAGATTACTAACATCAGATATAACTGTTTCCGTGGCATTTCAATAATCTGATAAATCCAGAAATCAGATTTTAGTGTACTTCCACGTTTGTTTGTTGTTTTAAGTTGTTTGTATGCACTGCTATTCTATTACACATATTACGGTACTGAAAACATAATGTCACTATTTGGCAACACTGACATGAAAATAATGAACATAAAAATTATTAATCAGACTTTACATCTAGGTTGTTATTACAAGATTATTCCGCATTAACGTTGTATTACTTGATTCGATTTTATCTTCAAGTCAAAATAAATCTGATCTTACCGCACAATTACACTAACAAGATTGGACATTTTTTACAGTGCTTGGCTGTATTCTCATTGTTGATAAACTGCCAAATGTCGAAAAACTTGCAGTGTAAAAGTGCAAAGTTCAAAATAACGCAGAGTCAGGTTTTTCTGCTGAGTTTTGCTGGGAATAGTATGCCCAATTAGTTCAGTTATTTTGAGTTGTTTACGGTCCAATGGGGAGTTCCCGGGAAGGGCGTGCTCCTCTTACTGTATGTAGCCCGCTGCAGATAAGTTTTCTTCATTACTGCCTGAATATTGTAGCTTATGAGGCCTGCTTTAAGACAAGGTACGTACAGATATGAGACAATGGTATGATATGGGGAAGCAGTGGGAGCCAGTTCCCCTGCAGAGAACTGCCATATTTAGCAGAATCTACCTGGGGCCCTGCTGTGGAACTTAATGAAACTGTAAAAATTGACTTCTTAACCTGTCTTGTGGAAGTTCAAGAGGGAGTCATGTCTGAAGCTACTCCCAGGTTCAATGGGAGTGTGTGGATGAATACTTGAGTGAGCAGTAACCTTAACAAATACTATGTCTTGGAGCAATCCCGCTGCCTACTCATTTTAAAGTGGAACTAAACTCAAAATCAAAGTTTTTGCGACAGAACTGTGTACCGTATTTTTCGGATTAAACAATTTTAAGTAAGCCTTAAATTTTCTCAAACAACAACAGAGCACCTTATAATCTGGTGCGCCTTATGTATTAATTCTGTTTGTGCTTACTAACCTCGAACCGATTTTATGTGGTACACGGCACTCAAAAATCTGTCAAAATGTTTTAGTAGGACTTTGATAAGCTACGAAGCTGCACTGCTTGATGGATTGCCGGAGCATTAGCTACTGTAGTCAGGAGCCTTGCAGAGTTTAGTCTGATAGAAGCTGACTGCATCAGCGCACAAGGAGCGAGCTGTTTTTTTTTTTTTTTTCCAAAACTATAAACGTTTATAGTTTATGCAAATAAGTCTTGTCGTTTTAAGTTTCATTTCTGTAAAATATAAACAAATCTGTGCATAGCTGCATTTAACACATTATTACTCAATGTATATTTGAGTCCTTCTCGTTGGAAATAAAAAAAACTTCCACCCACATTCACATTCATAATACTTATTCACCAAGACAGGGAGGCAACATGGGGTGAGTTATACAACGATCTGCCAATGGATCGTGGATGCCTGGGCTATGGGATCAGTCTCAAGTGTCAGATGTTTGTTTTGCTTAATGCACCTTATAATTCGTTGCATTGCTTATAACCCGGTGCACCGTATAAAAAAATAGGATACATTGGGTTTCAGTAGCATTATTTATTGTTCTTACTGTCTTTTTTGGCAACTTTATTGCAAACTTGTTCAATTTGGCTAAATCTAAGTGACTGCTTTCAGTAGCCATTGCAATTTCAAGTACTATGTGACATTACACAAGACGGCCCTGATTACAGTTCGATTTTTTTGATTACAAAGACCTGGCTGCCTAGTTTGAAGTGTGGAAACCCGTTAGATCAATCACACTGTTCCTCACACCCGCAGACCCCGCCCTTCCACCTCCCTCAATTTTCTTTAGTCCTCCAGGTTTTGCCCAGTTTTGCAGCTCTATCTGAAATTACAGGTACATTTTACCTCATTCATGATGTAGTTGTCTCATTATTGTTATCATGACAATGGCAAAGGAAACATTCATCTCCGTCAATATCACATTCACAATTCATTTTAATACATTTTCCTTGCCATAGTATCGTTACTGCTAGGACGCACTGGAATAAGATTTCAATGCCGCACAATTGAGTCCATGAACAATTTGGACCCCCCCTTCACAACATCCTATAGTCGTAATATATTGCACTATACTGTATTGTGTCTGGGGGATACTTTTCGACAGAGGCTGTGTATCACATGAGAAAACCATAGCCCAGGGACTCCCATAAGCTCCAGCCACAGTTTAGCCCTGCGTTATTACAAAGAGAAGCTTGTTTCACGGCTGTCTTTGCTCCGCGGGCCTTTCTCGATCTGCACACTCCTAACAGTAATCGTTTTCAATTGTCTGTTAACACCACGGCGTTCAGCAAGAATGTGCTATGAGCTGTTCAAATGACTTCCACATGGGCCCAGTGTTTTCTGTTTATTCTATGTATACAACGTCTACCAGGAAAATCACATATGACACGGAGAGTTGTAAATATGAATTTTACAATCCCTTTCACCATATAAGCTCACAGATGGTTACTTTGTGGGATCCAGCTTATTGTTTTGTTTATCATTTTATTTTGACAGGGTTCCCACGGTAATGGAAATCCTGGAAAAGTCATGGAAATTGAAAATGTCATTTTCCAAGCCTGGAAAAGTCATGGAATTTTCTCAGGCAACTACAAAGTTCGGTTAAGTTATCATTAGGTTATTATGATTATTTTCGAACGTATGCGCCTTTTGTTTAAAAGAGTCGACAATAAATGCACTGACAGTATTTTGAATGTTAAAAAACTATAATATAAACCATAAGGTGAGTGGAAAGGGTTAACATTTCATATTTAGCCCTAAAAGTCTGATCAATTTTACACATGTAGGTGCCGTAAAGTCATGGAAAATTCACTTTAGGTCATGAAAAAGTCATGGAAAATTTTTTAAATTTTGTTAGTGAAAAAGTGGGAACCCCGTTTGATCAACTTTTTAAAATTCCTTATATAGTTCAGGATTGTGTCATCATACTGCAAAGAATTTTCAGCTTGTCTAATGTTAAACAAATTGACATTTTTCATACTAAATTTAGCATTCATTCAGAATAAAGTATTCTGATACTATAACTGATCAATGTTTTTACCAGCAGTTTGAGTTGTTCGAGTTTTTTTTAAATATTTTTTAAATATTGGTTTAGCTAATGCATCTCTTTGGGCGTTGTACATGTAACATTTTCACTATATGAGATTTTTTTCTCTGCATTTGACCCATATTTTAATCAATGATGCTTTGTTAACCTGCCGTGAACATGAGTCTAATTATAGAGCCAGGATTATGGTCAGGAGTATTTTACAACTTTTTTATTATTATTATTATTATTATTTAATTCAAATATATTTATTCAGTTTTGAACATCTTAAACATAAATAGAACAAAACAAAATGTAAAAAAAAAATGCAAGTATAATGAGGTGCAACCAAGACTGGGCATAGGTAACCCATTAGCCGCGGAGTTCCAAATAGGAAGTGAGCATGAGGACGTTTTCGGCTCCATTGACTCTGGCTCCAGTTGACTTTACATTGAAAAAATTGTCACCGATCTCTGTAACTGCTGCAATGAGCCTCGTCTATCCTGGTGTTTTTAATTTCCTTTTTTATCTGTGAATAAATTCCGATTCCTAATCTTCCTAAATTCTCTCCTATAACTGCTTGCCTCATGAGCTTCATTTGACTGGAGCTCAAAGCTATGGGTGTCGTCCTACTCCTTTAGTCCACTTCTAAATTCAGACTGTGATTGCAACATAAAAAAAATCCCTTGCATTTATCTTCTGTAAATGATGGATTAGTCTTGTGTGCTTTTTGTGGGTTGATTGAAGAAAGAAGGGCATTTAGGATCAGCCAAAGTTATGATGACCATATTTTGAAGTTAAGCAGTCTTCCTTTGCCTGGGTTTTACTCTAAACGCCCAAGAAAACATATAGCAGTATAGTACATTTACTGCTCATTGATTTTACTGGTCAGACTACACACTGGTGCCATTGTTATAAGTCTATGGTCAGTGATAGCACGCAGAGACCATCATTTCCTGCTCAAAGGGAATGTTCTCATGTCATATTAAAGTGATGCATTACCATGTGTATGTGGTTTGTCCGTGTTTTCTTAAGCAGCAGGTCAGGCTCACTCTAGCTGTCTGCTCCTGTCAGAGAGCGAGGATAGGGAGCAGCTGACAGACCCACGGACTATCACTATGGGCTGTTAACACTGAGATACCCT